CGCCCGGGGTGGGGTGGGGTGGGGTAATTTCTCACTTTCCCCCTCTCTGTTTCTCTGTCTATCACTCTCTCTCCAGTGAGACATGAACCCTATGGCAAAAAAAAAAAAAAAAAAAAAAAAAAAAAAAAAAAAAAAAAAAAAAAAAAACCTAGGGGGGTTATTTCTCACTTTCTGTCTCTCTGGTGAATAAACAAGCCCTATAACAAAAATCTCTCTTTAAAAAAATAAATATAATCATTTGAAGGTAGAAATTCAACAGCCCAGTATTTTGTAGGAAGGGGAAGGGACTGTGGGCAGAAGTCTGTTTATTTCCTATTTTTCCAAAATCCTTTTCAGAGGGCCTAGAGGTAATCATGCTCACAAACATTAACAGATCATTTTGACCCACTGGTAACAGGATTCTTCCCACATCCTGCCCCTGGCATAGTATTGGAGTGTCTTTGTGAAGTATATTAAGCCTCCTTCTCTCTGTTAAAGTATATTCCTTTCTGATCTCAGCAACCTTGGTTTTCCAATCACCACCCTAAAAATTGTAAAACCCACCTATAAGCACCCTGCCCCAGCTTCCACGTGTCCAACCTTTTTGGGCCAGACCAGTGGAAAAAATCTTCACTGAATTCCAAACTCTGTCTCTCACTCTCAAAAATCAAATAAAAGACACACCTGTACCTGATCACCCTGAAGGGTAAGACATGTTCTGCCTCCTCATCAGGCTTTGGTCACTCAAATTCTGCATGGAAATAAACTGCATTAATTATTATGTTTTACAGAGTTGGTTATTTTCCATGAACAGCTGGTTTGATCTTAATAGATATGGTTCTATATTTATTGCTGAACACTTTATTATTTATTTATTTGGAGAGGTTTTTGCTATAGGGTGCATGTGCTCGCCAGAAAGACAGAAAGAGACAGAGAGACAGAAAGTGAGAAATCACCCCCCAGGGAGGACAATCACACTTCAATCCCCTCTCCTCCATTCTCCTCTCAGAATCTTGGGCACACATGCACATGTGCCCAGCATGAGTAAGCCACCGGGTCCGGGACTCAAACCACAGTTGATTACATGAGAGTCCAGTGACATAGCCATTATGCCAACTGCTGGTCCATGAACACTTTAAATTTAGGTATTCAGTGTATTTTTTATTTTAAGTGGTAAACATAGTTTTAATAGTTGTAAGCCACATTGGCAATATGAAATGGATCAACCTTTTTTTTTTTTGGTCTATAGGGCACATGTGCTTGCCAAAGAGACACAGAGAAAGGGAAAGTGAGAAATCATGGGGGGGAGGGGAGGGGAGGGGTGAGTGTGGTCACATCTTAATCTCTAGTCTTATTTTGGGATTTGGGGCATGAATGCACACAAATCTGGCATGATTTTCTTTCCTTTTTTTAAAAAGAAACATTTAATTTTATTTATTGTTATTATTTTTTTTAATTTGACCAGAGAGAAAGGGAAAGGGAGAGAGAGAAAGTAAGAAACCAAGCCAGCAGATCCAGGACTCGAACCATCGTTAGCCCTGTGGAAGTCCAAGCCAGCGGATCCAGGACTCGAACCATCGTTAGCCCTGTGGAAGTCCAGAGCCTTCACCACATCACCTGCTGGTCCTGCATCTGGCATGACTTTAAGCCTCCTGGTCAAGAACTCCAATCCCAGAGTTGGCCATGTGGAATCCAGCACCTTAACCTCCACTCCACCTGCTGGCCTACAACTCCTTTTTTAAATGTATTTATTTTAACCCCTTCATTAATGATTTTTTAAAGACAACCCAATGAAATCTACAAAAGGCTGTTTCTCACCCCAAGTGAATTAACTTCTTGTTATTATATCCAAAGGCAAGCATTGGCCAGAGAGAAAGCACTCCACAGTGGGATATAATCACACAATTCTTTTCTTCTATTTCTCCATCCCATTATGATGCGGAGCATGCACATACAGGTCCCTGGTGTCTTTTACAAGCCTCTGGAGTAGGATTCAAACCACAGTCAGCCATGTGGGATCTGGCTCCCTGCACACAATGCTTAACCACTGTGCTATAGGGCCTAAGATGGAATTAACTTTTTTCTTTTCTTTTTTTAGGTTTGTACCCTAGGGCACATGTACTTACCAGAGGGAGAGAGAGAGAAAGAGACAGAGAGAGACAGAAAGTGATAAATCACCCCCAAGGGGTATGGCCACACTACAATCACTGCTCCATTCTCCTCTCAGGATTTTTGGTATGTGTGCACACGTGCCCAGAGTGAGTTTTAAGCCACTGGTTCCAGATCTAGAACCATAATTGGCCAAGTGGAAGTCCAGTACCTTAACCACACCACCTGCTGACCCCTGAATGGATTTCAAGTATGCTTTAATGTACACAGGTTTAGACGGGTACTGGGATATATTGGCTTCCTAAATTTAAAATGAACGATTGAAATTCCTTACCAGGAGGCTCCAGGAATATCTAGGTTTGCACAAAGATATGTGAAGCGCTGCAACATGCTGCTTTTTGCCTCTATTTCCTTAGTAGTTCATTCTTGTTCTTTTTTTTTAAAGAATTATTTAGTTATTTAATGTTATTTGTTATTATTTATTTTTTAATTTGACCAGCGAGAGACAGAGAGATAAAGGGAAAGTGAGAAAGCAAGCCTCTGGGTCTGGAGCTTGAAACATGGTCAGCCATGTATGAGTCCGGAGGCTTAACCACCATGCTACCTGCCAACCCGAGTAGTTAATTTTTTTTCTTAAGAATCATTTATTTTTTATTTTATTTATTATCATTATTCTTCAATTTTGACCAGAGATAGAGAGAGTAAGAAAGCAAGCCATCAGGTCCAGGATTCAAACCATGGTCAACCATGTGGGAATCCAGTACCTCAACCACCATACCACCTACTGGCCCTAGCCCCTTATATTTTAAAAATAAGAATGAACTGGAGCCAACAGGTGGCATGGTGGTCGAGGTACTGGATCCCACATGGTCAACTGCACAGTTCAAGTCCCAGACTTGAAAATCATGCTGAGTGTGTGTACATGCCCAAAATCCTGAGAAGAGAATGGAGAAGGGATTATGTTATGGCCATCCCCTCCCCCACCCCGCCCCGAAGAGGGTGATTTCACCTCTCTCTCTCTCTCTCTCTCTCTCCCTCTCTCTCTTCCTCTCCCTCTCTCTCTCTCTCTGACTCTGCTCCCTCTCTCTCTCTCTCTGACTCTGACTCTGGTGAACACACACACCCTATAGCAAAACTAAAGATATATTTATTTATATAGGTCAGCTGGTGGTATGGTGATTCATGCAGCCAGATCCCAAGTGGCCAACTGCACAGTTAGAGTCCAGGACCCAGCAACCTGAAAAACAAGCTGGGCACATGTGCGTGTGTGCCCAAAATCCTGAGAGGAAAATAGCGGATAAAGAATTGCAGTGTGGGGAGGCCAGCAGATGGAATAGTGGTTAAGGCCCTGGACTCCCATGTGGTCCACCACAGGACTCGGCAGCTTGAAACTCACGCCATACATGTGTATGTGTGTGCCCAAAATCTCAAAAGGAGAATGGAGAAGGGATTGTGACATGGCCATCCCGCCTAGGGGGGTGATTTCTTGCTTTCCGTCTTTCTGTCTCTGTCTCTCTGGTGAGCACCTATGCCCTAATAGCAAAAATCTCTTTAAAAATAGAATTGTAGGGTGGCCATCTCCCCAAGAGATTCTTTCTCAGTTTTTCTCTCTCTGTCTCTGGTAAGTACACGTGGCTTATATCTGGTAAGTATATGGCTTAGTTAAGTTCTACCCCTGAAGAATTCCTTTGTCCTGGAAGATTTTTTTCCATGTATAAATAAAGTAACATGGGGAACCAGCAGTTAGCGTAATGGCTATGTCGCTGGACTCCCACGTAGTCGACCGCGGTTCGTGTCCCGGACCCAGTGGCTTAAAACTCACACCGGGCGCATGTGCGTGCATGCCCAAGATCCCGAGAGGAGAATGGAGGAGAAGGGATTGCGTCGTGACCATCCCCCCTGGGGGGTGATTTCTCGCTT